TCGGGCGGGAGCGCCGCCGCGCTTCCCAAGCGGCACACTATCCAGTGCGCCACCGGGCCGGGCCCCCACAATTAGGTTTAATTAAGGAAATTTCACTCTCTCTGAAAGGGACAGGAATGCTTTCACACACAATCTTAGGAATTCTACATGTTACTCTAGAAACCTATATTGATTTCGAATTACCTGAGCCCTTTCCAAAGAAGGAAGAAAACTACTAATGACAATTAAGGTGTTATGTACATATAAAATATGCTTTCATACTGGGTAACATTTAGGGATTGAGATTCTATACATCCCTGATTATCCTGCTATTTGAAACTTACAGCGTTTCAGTCACATGTTTAAGTGTGTCTTTCCTTTCTTTAAATGGGACAGAAGTTTGAACTCTAGCACTCATCAGAGACATGTTTAAAAAATATCCCTATAGATTCCATTGCAAATCATGCTCCACAATGGGTAAAAATGCATATCCAACAGTGTTACAAAGACACTACTAAATGTCCACTCATAAGCTGTGAGGAAATAAATCTGCCTTCTTGCTCTTCACTGCATGTGGAGTGAAGCTCTTAGAGTGACGTTGTGATTTTGCGTGTTCAGTCAGGGATGAGAGGAGGAGTAATGCAGACAGTTTGTTAGCGAAAACATGAAGAGATTCTAGGCAGCCCTAACAAGAAGATGAGTTGGCACCATGCCCCTGGCTCCCTTGGAATATGTCCCATCTGTCTCTCTTTGCTGGTATTTGTGTTCCACCCCCAGAAAGCAGAATTATTTTTCTGCATAACATGTCTCATTTAGTTTTCTGGGACATAGTCTACCCCTTCTAAGAATGTGATATTTAGCTGGGAATGGTGGTTACTTACCAAATCGACATTTTCTGCCAGGACGATGGCTGCAGTGACAGCTTCTGTGCAGGTGTGAAAGGTGGGCATCTGAACCTGATATAGAGGTTCGGGATTCCATGATCTCATCTCCTTGGTGGGAAGTGATTATCCCTTCACCTGAAAGTTCAATGACAGGGTCTGCAGATTATCCCTGGAAAACATTGTGGAATAAGCAAATTACAGAGTTATTAGTGTTCATTAGTGAAGTTATACATTGAGAATAACACAAATAGCTAAAAGAAAGCGTTTTGTGGAGGCTGAAAACAGGTAAGTCTCAATGGGAGATAAGTAGAAGAGACTGAGCTCTAAGATGTGAGACAATTAAGTTGAGCCCATGACTTCGCTGACACTTGCCTAAAATTAAATTCATCTTTCTATAAAGTGTGACTTTTCCATTTTAATTCATGGGAACTTTGAGGAAAATTAAACTTGGTGTAAAAGAAATAAGGTGAGAGTGAGTGTAGAAAGAACTGGTTGAGTGGAAGGAACCAGACAACGGCTTCCAGTTGTCTCATTGCTTCAACAAACATTTACTGAAATTGTATGTGGCCCAGAGGCTCTTCTAGAGATGCAGCATATATCAGTGAACACAGTCTCTGTAGTTGTGAACCTACAGAGAGTGTGTTCACACGCAGCCTTCATTTGAATTGAGGGAAGTAGCCAATAAGTAACAAAAAAATATTACATATTGTGCAGTAACTTATAAGGCAACAGCTGCTGTGAAAATTTGAGAGTACATCAAAAAGTTGATGGAGAATTTTGTATGCTCTTTCTATACTTTTTGTATGATTTTTCAATTCTATTTTCCCACAAACTTTTTGAAGTCCTTTTGTATAAAGAAGAGCAGCAAAAGTAATAACAAAGATGTGGGGTAAGAAAATGTCTGTAGGAAATAGAAGGGTCAGGGTTGTTCTCACTGTGAAGGTGATATTCGAGCACACTTTTAAAGGGGGGGGGGAATTAGAATACATGGGGAAGAAATGGCCAGCACAATGTCCTAAGGGCAGGGGCTGCCTGGATGACACATGTGTCCATTGTGTCAGTTCAAGGGTGGATGCTAATATTTTCTGGTGGGTTTTGATAGACTGCACCATATAGAAATCTTCCTACTAGGGGCACATTTGAACATACCTCTACTCCAGAACTCATTGTCAACTACTTTTTTTGGCTTTTCCTCCCTTGCCAGGGCAGATCATTGGCTGCTGCCATGGAAAACACACACACACACACACACACACACACACACACACACACACGCACACGCACGCGCACGCGCACTTTATTTTTATTTTTTTTGCCTGAAACACATTTATTTCTACATTATATATCAATACACAAGAAGCGAGACCCAAATTTTTATCCAGAAAAAAGACTCAAAGGGAAATCACTGTAATGCTATTTAGTAGTGGAAATAAGGTGGTTTTTTCCCACACTTCTTTGTGCTTCTCTCTTTTTCAAATATTCCATAATAGGCACATATTATTTTAGCAAACAAAGCAACTTATTTTGTCATTATTTTTATTTTTTTTTAAATTTTATTTTGTCGATATACATTATGGTTGATTAATTTTGCCCCTTACCAAAACCACCTTCCCTCCTCCCTCTCCTCCCTCCCCCCCTAAAAATGTCCTTTCTGTTTGCTTGTCTTATCAACTTCAAGTAATTGTGGTTGTTATATCTCCTTTCCCCCTCCCCGTTTTTTTTTTTTTGTGTGTGTGTGTTTGAATTTATATATTAATTTTTAGCTCCCAACAATAAGTGAGAACATGTGGTATTTCTCTTTCTGTGCCTGACACGTTTCACTTAATATAATTCTCTCAAGGTCCA